TCGAATGGAGTGGTTCTGCCTACCCATACTTGTGTGTGCTGACTTTTATTTATAATTTTTATTGCACATAATGCTTAAATGCCTTTTGAGAGTTGCAGTTTCTTTTTTGTACTCGTACTTCCCCAGAGAATTGGGTTAATAGTCAGCATCGAGTGTGTGTGAAGCATTCTTTTATTCTCATTTGCCTTTGTTTTTTATGATTCAAAAACGCAAAGTTATAATTTGTTCAAGTTGTGACCAACATTTCAGCATGAATTGAAGCAATAAAATGAAAACTTTTCTCTGTGAGTGAATATACAAACAAAACTTAATTGTAGGTTGGGTTTAAGGCACAACCAGTCGACGAGGCAGTCACCAAATTGAGGCCTCCAATAGGGTTTTCTCTGTAAGTAAGTTCTGTAATAAATAAAGACCTTATCCTGACCAAATGGGAAACTTCATCAAACAAAAACAAGGCCGTTGGCACCAGAATTGTCCAATATTTTTCGGAGAAAATAATGCAAATGTTTCTGTCAGTTGGTAATTAATCCAGTTCCTAACCACAACCTTGATTTTGCTGGGAAATAATGTGGAAATAATTGTTGAATGGAAATGTCCCTAGAGGGGAATCATTTAGCTCGACTGCCCAATCATTTAGTGTCCATCAATCAATTAATAAATTGCTGCTCTGGATGTGTTTAGGCCTTTGGGGACTTAACTACATGAAATTCATCTGAAATGATGGTAAAACCCCACACAATTTTAGTACGGCCTAATGCTGATGTTTTCTGTACTTTAGTTGGATAACCCTTGTCACTTTTTCAAATGTTGAAGTCCCTTCCCTGAGGGGAAGAACACACTATATATGTATTTATTTGGTTCCGTCTTTCACTTGGCTTGGGGATTATCCCTATGTGCTTGAATGACTTTTTGATTCTGCCATTTTAGATTGAAACTATTTGTTAGTCGCCTAAAAATAGCCCCGTGCCACAGCCGAGTTGAAGGCACAAAAATTAATCACATTTTGATGACAAATCATTCGAGGAATGTTCACGGATACTGGCGATTGTAGCTGCGCGATGCACTCAGACTCTGAATGCATTTGATTTAATAAAATATACGATTAAAAATAAAACAGAATGCTTGGCACAGTAAGTGAGCATTAATTTAATACAGAGAGCCGAAATTCTCAGGTCGTGTCGGAAAATGCAACAAAATAACTCAAAAAAAAGAAAATCAAATTCAGATTTAGATTCAGAATCAGATTGGGATGCGGATTCAGAAATGCTTGGCAAGTGTAATAAAATTAGTCACACGGCCAGTGCCAGCGGCAAGACACAGCAACCGACTAATGCATACGATTAATATTATGGATGGGGTCGCAAAAGGGTGGCAAAGAGGTTCTCGGCCGAAGCTACTTAGAGATGACAATCGGCATGATGAAGATTGGAATGGGGATGATGAGTGAAAGGCAACATAAAGTGCACAAACGCCAGGCATAAATCACAACGCCACCGTCTGAATGGATGTGGGAAAGGGAACGGGTGGTAGAAAATAAAATATGTTAATTAAATAAAGATGCGCACACTCATTGGCATCCATGGATGGATCGGGAGGGGGTACTCTCTGGGAAAGTGCAGACGCAGACGCGAAAACTGTGACGCCGGCCAGCCAAGCGAAATCTTGGCCAACGCCACAACGGACACGCCTTGTGAGAGACGGACGGCGACGACGACGACGACGACAACGAAAACGACAACGACGACGACGACAATGGTTGCACTTTTGCCAAAAACCCAAGCCTCAGCCCCACCAAGGAATCGCATGCATTATGCACGGCAAGAAATGTCGAAATAAAACGACAAGTTTTGCAATACGAAACATTACATGTGCTCATCATTAGAAGGAGCCATCACAAACACATACACACACACACACACACACACACACATTAATATACTCGCATACACATGTAGTTCTGAGGCAGGGCCATACTTTGGCACAATCATCCACGTTTCATCTATTGTTCAGCGGCTGTTGCCTGCCGTACTCGTTGCCGTTGCCGTTGCTGTTGCTGTTGCTATTGCTGTGGCATAGGTTCCACTTCAAAAAACATAAAATACGCGCCGCAAATATATTTTTAGCAATCCGCGCTCGTTTGATTTACGATTTCATTAAATCAGCTAATGGACATTGGACATACTCCTCTTATGCCTCTTATGAGAGCCAGAGTAGAGCAGCAAACGCAAACCTGTCCGATCATCAGCATCATTATAACGACTCGACTCTCCTCTCTCAGGCACACACTCGCAGCCCTGCGTATACTCTGCTGCTGCAGCGTTTTATCACCCCAACAGATTGGCGACCACCTGTCCTTGTCTGTACAAATAGGAACAGCCGCCATGCCACTGCCACGCTGGCATGGTACAGCCACAGCTACAGGCCCTACCTCTGCCACTTCCTTTGCATGTGGCCGAATCTGTTGTTGCTGCTGCTGCCAGAGGCCTTACAATTATGTTTTGGGCCATGCCGATGACTAAGTTTCTGCTCTGCACATTGTATCTTTTGTCAAATTCCTAAGCGCATTAATGAACAACCTGGTCTGGTATGGTATGAATTCAATGAATCGATAGATTTGGTCCATTCAAATTGGATAAATATGTATGTATGCTTCACCTGATTCAAACAATCTCTTGTGCTGTAGCCATCACATTGTCTAATTGAAATTCTCGTTTCAATAGCAACATTGTTGCAAATTTGAGGCCTAGCTGCTCGCAGTGTCTGCAGATGATTAGAATTGGTGCATTTGTGGCAATATTGTGTGGCTCGAATGGCAATCAGGAATTCTGTTTAGAGCAAGTTGGATTAGGGGGAGCGCTCAGGCATTGCATTCAGCTCGAATGGAGAGCTTTAAAATTTATTTATTTTAATGCTAGGTGGGAGATGGAAACTCGTCAACTTTCGTATTTTATTGGTCATAAACTCTTATTGTACCACACGGAAGATTTGTCAGAGTGTTTGGTTCCTTTATGGCCTGTCTCAGGGAATTTATTTAAATTATTTTTTATGAAGCAGCATCAGCTGCCGCATCTGAAATGATGTTCGCGCCACACGTGCCACAGTTGACGAAAATAAGTTGTTGCCTCGGTAACCAGAAATTAATAGTTCATCAAACGGCGGCAAATGCTGACAGATAAATGACGCGTCGGCCATCCTCTTCCCCATTCCCAACGTACGTCGAGACGCCAGACAAACTATGGGACACAAGAAGCGATACATAGGCGTATTCGTAGTCGTATTTTCCAAAAAACTCGATGCTGTCCATTCGCATTCCTCAGCATCCCTTTCCCCTGCTCTGGCATCAGATGTATGTTGTTTGAGAATATGTACAATACATATTTCTAGACGGATTGTTTGAATTTTTTTGTTTTTTGTTTGCTTCCCTGTGGCAGTGGCAGTGGCAGACATGAGTAATTACAATTCGAGCATAACTTGACTTTCACTTTATCAGCAATAGATCAACCCTCTCTCCTCCATAGATCATATCCCATTCCTTCCCTTCAGCCTTCAGCCTCCGTCTTTCCTTTTCGCTTTCCACTTGACGCAACGGAAAAATATTACCGCATATGCCATATACTAAAAAAGACATCCACGTAAAAGCAAAATACAAATATTTTAAATAAATAAGAAATTCCTTTTCCCCATTTTACGGTGACGTCAATTGTCTATTTAGTCATAAATTTGACTGGCAGCCATTGCTCATTGAATGAACCGCTATCATTTCAAGGGGGCGAAAGGTGCTTTGGGGGATCGGTGGAGTAGAAAATTACATATGAGTAAACGAGTACGAACGGAAACCATAATCAAATATTGAGTCGGCAAGAAAATGAATATTTTTTCGTCTGAATGATTTTTTCAAACAAAAAGGAACCGGATATTAGAACATTATCTAAGGGTTTCATCTATGCTCATTATATTTAGTAATACTTTAGGGTGGTTACTTGATAAAGTGGTTCGGCAGAAACAAACAAAAAACTCCACCCCACAATTCAACATACAAATCCTCTCTTGTGGAGTCTTCAATCAACAATAAAGTTTTGTATGTTTTTAGCTCGAGCTGCAAGTTGGATAAACCCAATTTTATTTTTTCTCTGCCATTTTTCCATGATTATATTTACTTTATTCATACAACAATATACTCGTAAACTGACGATCGGATTTTACCAATTCACAAATAGTTTTTTTTATGCATGGACAACGAATTTCCCCTGAAAACCAACCGAAACAATATTTAAAGTTTATTCCCAGAATCAAGGTTTTGGGAACTGGGTTTCCCATGAAATTCTGTAATAAAATGAAATGAATTTTCTAACCAAACAATGGGGTAAATTCCATTAGTTTAGGCCAGAGGTAGCTCAGTGGGCCCCACATGACGAGAACAACGTCATTGAACTTTGAACACAAATTTTTGGTCTGCTTTTTGTTGTCAGTGCAGGGAACAGGGTACACAGATTTTGTTTGGCTGGCAGCACGTTTCTGCCGCGTGAATTTATCACAGAGCTCAGTGCCAAAGTGTTGTGCGGGTGTTGGTATGGTGTATCTCTCTCTGTGTGCTTTGGTATCTCTGTGCATGAGTGGGAATGAGTGTGTGTGTGTGTACAAGTATGTGTGTGTTTGTCAGCACATATTTTAGATGCTTGTTAATACCAGCCATAAATAAATTGGGACGTTCATCAAAGGAAGAAGAGGTGGAGGACCACTCTCAGCGCACAAAGAAAGTCATCGTCATTATCACTATCATCACATAGCACAATATTGGGCGCACTCTTGTGATCTCTAGTGCCATTAAATCGTATTCCCCCACCCGCTTGTTAGTACGGAGTTTAGTTTTGTTAGTTTTGAAAGGAACACAGAACTTCAATTAAATCAAAAACTCAAATTAAACTGCAGGAATGTGTAGAGACGAGAAATATCTAACGAAAGGGTTGTTCTTATTGCTTATTATCCACTGTCTGGCTTACCTTTCGAATTGGGGCTGCATTTGCGTTTTGCGCCGCTTCCCACGGTGCGTATGATGAATGTTGATTGTCGTCGTCGTCGAGGCTGACGCTGAGGCTGAGGCTCCTTCGTTGTCAGCTACTTGGGGAGACTAATCTGCGGCTATGGCTTTTTATGTGTGCTCTCTATATACACATATGTACGTGCGGGGTATACGAGTACATGTATCCATGTATACACACATGGGGATGCTATACGTTGCTCGCTGACTGTGACATTGAATCGCTTTTCCACTAATGCTACTGCTGCCGGTGGTGCTGCTTCTGATGCTGCTGCTGTTGCTGTTTCTTGTTAATGCTTTTCTTTCGTTTCGTTTCGTTTCGTTTGGCTTTTGTTTTATTTCACACACGGACACGGACACGGACACAAAAGGTGGGCCACAGGCAGGCAGGCAGCCATATTTGCCTTCTCAGTTTCACACACGGCCTTCCATCTTTATGTACACACAGACACACACGAACACGCACACACAAACAAAGTCCTTAAATTTCTGGTATTGCCTTTCTCAAAGGATTATGATGTTTAAAAAGTCGTAGTTTACATTAGTTTAGGGTTCATGCTTTGTAAAGAGGACGGCTTGACACGCATTTTTCGATTATATCTACACATCTTACTCTGCAAATGAAATCAATATGATTGTAGAATCGAGTTTGGGAAGAAATGTACGCTGAAAGCATTTCGCTCCCTTGGCAGTTCTTAAAAGTAAAGTTAACAAAATTTAATTGGCTTTATTATCGCTTTTTTGGGCTGCCATTCTTGAATGCATTCTGGTTTTATGTAATTGCTTTGCTTCATTAAACAGTTTATGAATTTTGTGTGCTTTTCTCGCTGGAGTTTCGACTTCACTGCATTCTTCGTTATTACAATATAAAACACATTTTTATACTTGGCCAACAACTTTGGCCATCTGCAATAACACGGACAAAAAAAAAAAGAGAGCAAAGCAGAAAGTAATAATAAAAGGGAGAGAAAACCCGAAACAGAATCAGAAAGAGAAAGAGAAACACTTGCTCGAGGCTCCGACTCCGCCTCCACTCCTACTGCTCCACCTCCACCTCTCCTCTTTTAGAACAAAAAGCAGGGGCATACAACAACAAAAAAAAGCTTTTAAGAACTGTGGGCCGTTCTTGGGAAATTACTTAAGTTTTCAATGCGTTTTACTCAATTTGACTTTGGGTCGTGGCTGACTTTTCCTCTCTTTCCCCACTGTATTCCCCTGTCTCTGCCCTTTCTACTGCTGTTGTCAGAATTGGCGCATTAAGCGAAAAAAAAGTGAGGCCACAAAAAAAGAGGAAAAGTTGGAAGGTTGGAAGGTTGAACCCAGAAGCGCCCTAAAGTGGAATGGGTTGGCGGCTAAACAAGTTTCCTTTGGCTGCTGCTGCTGCTGCTGCTGCTGCTTCTCCTGTTGTGGGTTCTTATCGCTGTGTTTGTATTAAATACACACAAACACACAGGCACACATAAAGAGAAGTCAAAATAAATCGATAAATTCTACATAGATACACAACACAGCATCCAAGAGCAGCAGCAATAAACAGCCTACGAACAGTAGGCAACACAAAATGTTTTTCGTTTGCCTCCTTGAATTGTCCTTTCAGCCAAGCCACCCGAGGTGGTGGGAGAGAATGGGAATCCCCCGCCTGCTCCACCACCACCCACATCCCAAGCTACACTCTGAATCCAGCCCCTACTCCTCCTTGGGGCTCTCCTCTCCATTCATACGCAGGCCGAATACGAATGCCGAGCCTCGTTCGTTTCGTTGATTGTATCTGTGTCTGAACTGTGCTTTTGTATCTGTATTTGTGTTCTGTTCTTGCATCTGTATTTGTACTGTGTATGCTTGTATCTGTGTCTGTTTTGCGTTTACTTGGATGTGTGTTCGTTTATTCGCACGCCTGACTGTCTGCCAGTTCGTTTTGGTCTGTGTATGTCTGTGTGTATGTCGGATCGGATGCTGTTGTTCTGTACTCCACATTTCGCTTCGTTTGCTTTGCGCGTAAGCAGGTACACACTCACACAGATGTATACAGATGTAGATATGTTTTGTCGAGCAACTCCTACATTTTGTTGGGAAAAATCAATTAAAATTTAACGCACGTCTCGTCAAAACGCACTCGCATCTCGCATTCTGCCAGACACCTTTCACATCAAAATACAATCCCTCCATTCGAACGTTCAGCACACAATTTAATTTGTCTAATTTGAATTTTAATTAAAAACTTTTAAGGGTTCAATAACTTGCAAAATACTCGTAACGCCCCACAAAAAAAAAACAAAAAAAGAGAGAAGCGAGAAGCGAGAAGAACAAATTCAAATAAACATTTCTTAGGGCTTAAATGAAATTCGGGGTCTCATTTCCATGTAACAGCTGTCTGTCAGACCCCCAAAGAGGCGTGGGAGGGCATTGGAGGACAGAGATGTGTTTAAAGTTGTTATGCCACTTTGTTGCTAAATCAAGTTAAACTTTTCATTATATGGGGTGTGACTTTTTAATTGCCTTAAATGCTAATGCCAGGTGCCAAACAGTCCTCTGAGAGGACAAAGTGTGCACAGCAAAAGTTTCGATTGGCTTAAACAGGCGGGGGGCTCTTTCCAGCACTTTCCCTCAACGAATTTAAGCAACGCTCAATGAATGTTTTTCTCTGCTTCTGCATTCGTATTTTGTTTACAATACATCGTTTGAGTACACTGAGAAAAGAGATGTTTTTTTTGAGAATTTGAGAATTTGAAACATTTTTGCGTATATGGGAGAATTTTGAATTTTTAGATAACGCAGTTTCTCGTACTATCCAGTCGAAATGTATTATTTCCGAGTGTATATAAAGCTCTGTGTAAACCCAAAGAGAAATCATTCAGACGAGTATTTTTCGAAATTCGAACATCTCCAGACTGATGGCCAATTGATGGCCACTAATTATGTATACACCTAATGTGCAATGATATATCAGTATACTATATGGGACATAGCCATGTAGTCGGGGGCTGCTTTGGATGCGCTTTTACAGGCACCGACAATGTAAATAAACAATCTGAAAATCTCACATGACTCTGACAATATTTGGACGCTCATCATATTTTACTTTGAGGCGTTGTAGGCACTGCCCCAGAAAGCGGCACACCTCCCAACCACACCCACAGCTCATAAACGACGCACATACACACTCGTTCACATTTTCCTGATTTCTTTTCAATCTTTGTAGGATGTTGTAAAATAATTTAACGACAGCAATTTTCCCTTGTCGCGGATGACATTCGTTTTGCCACTGGTCTATGCCTATAATATATGCATGGAAATTGGATGGCAATTTCATTTATTCGAACGTTCAAATATATTTATTTAATGTATTTTCACTCGTTTCTATTTACAGAAATAGAATTCGATTTTTATTAATAAACGGCGTTCAATGCAAATGGGAATTGGCGGGGAATCCAATAAATCTCACAGCCAGGAACGAGAATGAAACCTGAAAAGTGCTCCAAGGACACAGCCACAAATGCACCGGATGCAAATTGCTTCCGCTGCAACCTGATTTTGTACTCTCTCAATTTGCCACTGACCGAGCCAATAACGGATGAAGTCACAAGAGCCCGGATTTAACTGATTTGTTGCTGTGCCCTGCCCGTTGTCATGGTAATCCCGGGATACTCCACATGCAACTCTGGAGTTCTATTATTAGATCGAGCTGTACATTTGGCCCTTGGCGGCCAGGTGCAGGGTGCAACATGCAAATGCATGTTGTTGTGCATGAATAGCTAGAACCGAAGACTAACAAATGAATGACATTCAACTTTCGGTCGGCTTGTCATCGGTTAAGTGGCGTTAAATGGGTGAAGGTCACAGCAGCCAGGGCTGCACCGTTAGCCCAACGTCAGTGCCAGTGCCAGTGCCAGTACCAGAGCCAGTGCCAGCACCAGGACAAGCCCACCGAGGACATTCGTGGATAGTGTGGGTGAATGGGGTGGATGGGATGGGCCATTAACAATATTCAGAGGCCGTAAAATCAGCAGCAAACTGCAGTGAAGGTAAGCAAACAAACCAACAAACAAACACACACAGATGCACACCAATACCAAACAAATATACAATCACAAACATACGGATATGTATATGTTTGTATGTATGTACATAGGGATAAGCCAAACAACCAAAACAACCCCCACCCTCTAGCGAGGGAGGGTCTCCTCCGTCTTCCCAATGGTCATGTTTACTCAAACTCAAACACAAATGCTTTCATAATTTCAGACCATCCCTACCCCAGCCCATTCTACACCACACACACACACAAACACATACTAACACACACGCACAGATACACAAATACACGCATAAATCTTCAGCTGGCGCCATTTCACTCCTTCGTTGGAACTATAAAAGCCCCAGCCACCGTACTGTCTGCGCTGGCAACCTCCTCAGTAACATCAATGTTTTGCTTGTTGTCGTTTGCTTTTCCTTTTCCCAGCTCCAGTCCTAGTCATTGCCACTGCCCCTGCCCCTGCCTCTCTACTCCATCCGCCATCTGCCACCCCCCCTGTGGCAGTACCTACAGCACATCGCCAACGAAAACCCCCCTAGGAAAGCAGCATCCTTCCAATTACTCACACATTCAACGAGCACTCATTTAAACGAAGCACCCAACGCTTACAGCATAACGTCAAAGTTAACTCGGTGGAGCGCAACGCTTGGCAAGGAGATGGTGGCAGTGGGGGTCCGTACGTACGCAACGAGAGAGATAGAGAGAAGGCAGAGAGTGACAGAGAGAGCGAGAGAGAGAGAAACAGTGTGTGGCATCCACTCGTGCCACACTGTTCTGCTCGTGCGTTCGTGCTGCCCGTTCGTGCGTCCTCGCATCGGGCATCCTTTTGGCAAGAATACTCGTTGATGATGTACCATGGGCTGGAGGTCGGAAATTGTCGGATGAAATTATCAACATTTTGTTGGCTGATATAATTCCTATGAACACAACAATTACCATTAAATTAAATCAATTTTCAAAGAGGGAAATGTCGGCTCATTTGAGTAACAATTCTTATCTTTAGAAAATTTGAATCGATCATTCTCGGATGTGGTGTCTTAGATTGGGCTCGACCACACATTTGCTTTAAACGGGGTTGCTTTATATATTCGATCCATTTGGTTCTTGGTTCTTTAAAAAGTTCACTCAGTGGATTGATATTTAATCCACAAACAGTAGAACATTGTTTAAAAAGAGAAAGCCCGATTTCGAAATGCAACTCATTGAATCTTTAATTTTGTATAAAAACTTACAGACTCTTCACATATTATAGTTCAACAAAAATCCAAACTTTGCACTGTCAAGGACTAATGCACACCACTGTACACTCCCACACACACACACATACACAAACAGGGAAACCATTATCGGCACAATGTTGGAGGATTGTTATACTTGTGCGAGGATGCGGGTCCATTCCATTACAACATATCGAATCTTGTTACAGCATTGACACAGTGTGCAATCGTCCTTTCTTTTTCTCTTTTCTCTGTTGTTCTTTTTTTGTGTGCAAATTTACGTGTTTTTATGTATAGCTGTATGTGGGCTACTATGTTAAAAGTTTTTTCTCCATAGAGAATGGCCACACCCCCCCTTCGAGCATCGCTACCAGCATCCCTCTTCCCTTCCATCTCATCCAATCTCTCATCCCTACGCAAAGACGCTAGCAGCAACTTGTTTGTGCTCATGTATGCGAAAGTAGGAGTGTGTGTACGTATGTGTGTGTGTGTGTGTGTGTTTCGGGTGGTGATGGAGGGGGGTGGTGTCTTGGCAAAGTTTTTGGCTTTTTTTATTTTCTTTTTCTGTTATTTAATTGTTTTTGTATTGTTCTTGTTGTTGCGACTCATGTTTGACTTCTGAGTTGTCGTTGTAGTTGTCATCGTTCTTCTATAGCCGCCATTCCCTTACATATATAGAAGGTATTACGGCTTTGAGTAGATGTTTGCAATGCACAATATATAGCATTGTAAAGAAACAGTCCCTATGGCTGGAAACCTCCGTTAGCTGTATGTACATACATACATACTATATGGGTTGGAAATGTTACTGATTCCCACATAAATAGTTGTATTGTATCCCAACATTCATAAAAACTTTCTTTTCTAGACTATAAATTTGCAATTCTGTGGCGGTACATTTCGCACTCTTTCGTTATCTAAGTATCTGAAACTCTGATCAAGCATTTTAATTCGATTATATATTTTTTCGAATCAACGGTATCCCATCCATACATACTAGCAACTAAAGCGAAATATCTCTAAATTAATTACTTATATTATAGTGTTTATTTCGGAGTCTAATTAGACTAATTAGTTTGAATCTGCTCCGTTTTAAAGAAAGAAATAGAATTGATCAAATTGAATCTCTTTATCATATCATATTGAGAGCAAATGTATGATGTTTGTATAAATAATCAAAACACTTCTAGCAATTTCAGATTCCTATTGCATGTAATTACAGAATAACTTAACGACGCTTAGCTAAATCAGACACAACCATAATATCTCAGCATTTAGGGTATCGAAACGGTATCCACCCACAAATGGTAGCTTACTTTTCTTGTTTCTGTTGTTGCCACTTGTCGTGGCAACTTCGCTCGCTGTTCGTGTATTTGATAACTTTCGTTTTAACTGTCAATGACGGCAATTGAAAGTTGCCAGATTGTTGCAAGCTCTCAACCACCGTTAGAGTCCAGGACTCGACTTTAAATGGAACTTTTTCGGGCAAAGCTTTAAGAGAGATTTGTTGGTGCCATGAGGGTGGGGGCTTACAGGATGGGCAAAAGGATTATCCCGTAGCATCCGCACCCCACCCACCAGATGGTAGTAAAACACTCACTCACATACACACACACTTGCATAAAAAGTGGAAACAGAAAACATACTCACACACACACAGACATTTGTCAAACGTAAAACTATGTTGGGGATGTCGCTCTGACAGCCAGCTGGGCGGCCAACTTGCCACACAGATGCCACCCAGTAGCGAGCGCCACCTCCTCCAGCATAATACATGTGTGTGGATGTAGATGAACGTCCGTATGTATTTATATATACATATACGAAGAGTCACATAATCCCCACGCACACACACACACATAGTACACAAACTTGCAGAGGGAGAGCGAGGGAGTGCGAACGAGATGGATGGACAAAAACACAGTTAGCAATTTACTGTATTTCTATTATGTATGAATTTTTCGTGTGTGCCAGCAAGCAGCATTACATCTTCTCTTCTGTGTAGGATATTCTTTTTAATACTCTTATTTTTGTCGTGTCCTTCCATTGAAAAATGGCAGCCCAGAGTCCTTAATGCCGTGCATTATACAGTTATACACACGAATACACCAAAAAAGAGGAAAAACTTTCAACTAAAATGATTTGTTTGCAGTTTTAGGAAACTTGGTTGCTTTTCTGTCGCTTCTTTTGTCAACTTTTTCAAAAATCAATGTGCGAGTAACATTTTAGAGATTGGATTGGATTTTCTCCAGGTTTCACAGCACTTTTCTTTCTTGATTTCTTTCTTTTCACACGAAGCTACCTTTTGTTGTTTGAAAATTATTGAAATATCATTTATTATATGTTATATATACACGCGTTTATTTATTTATACCTATGTATGTATATGCATCGAGTTTTTGAACGTTAAAAGTTTAGTCAGCTTTGCTTCTTGTTTTGCCGTTGCTTTCCTGCTCTATCTTGTCTATATGTGTGTGTTGTTTTTGGGTTTTTTGTGTTTTTGTAGTGTAGAAAAAATTAAAAACGCGCCGTTGGTATAAAAATGTTTTTAGCTAATGCGATTTTAACGTTTTGCATGCGAACCAACAACTATTTTGGCCAAGTGCGCGCTGCCAAAGCAGAAGCTCTCTGAACGAACTAACGAACGGCCGACGCGACGAATGCCGATGGATGCTATATATATTGCATGGATATATGTTTGCTGGCGCAGCGCGCAAAGATAACGGCTGCTCTGGCACGCTCTGAGAGATGCTACGGGGAGATACAAATTGTTGTTTGGATGCTGGCGGCTGCGCAATAATCCCACCTGCCAGCATTGCCAGATGCGCCTCTGCTCGACGGTTTGCCACTCACAGCGAACGCAACGCCCGCGCGTTTTAAATCGGATAACGCTCTCGGTGTTTGTGCTCGGCGGCGTCTGTAGCAATTATAATTTATGACTTAACTGGAAAGGGGAAATCATAAAAAGAACATCAGCATTGATCACGTGAACCACCACTCTCGTGTTCAGGCAGGCGGATGCGCAGGCAAACGGATGGGATAGGGTGCACGTTTCACTTGTGGGATGAGAGGCGCAGGCAGACGACGTCGGGTCTTAATGATAACGAGCACTATTGAAAACAACAGTTTTCGAAAAACAAATACAGTAAGAACTCGCTAAACGTAAATATTATGATCGATATCAAGTGCAGAATACATTCAAGAGCAAATATCTATGGAAAGCCTTGAATAAAATAAGTTTTCACGACATTTTCACAAAAGAATTTTCTAACTGATACAAATTGTGAACTATTCTCGAGATATGTATCACGGGTAGGTTCTACTGTTCACTGTACTCAAAACAAAACCACACAACACTACTGGCGGCACTACGATCGCCGCTGAATTTTTCCTTTATCAGGTCAGGCTGCCGGCATTGATGACTTCTTACGAAATCGGGCATCTCATTATGAGTAGAATGTGAGTAGCCTGACGTTCTATAAATATCGCAGGTCTCGTGTCAAACACTATCAGTGGCAAGGGAAACGTGAACCGCAACGCATTGACATTAGAGCAGGAAAACTCGTAACGATGAGCCTGCAAATCTTCCCAATCCTCTTCTGCCTGTGTGCGCTGGTCAGTGGTCGAGGTAAGTTATCTAAGAGTGTGTCTCGAATTTAAACTAACGGAACTGTACCTCCATAATTAGTGCTGGACACTCGGGAAACAGAGCGACGCATGCATCCGCTCTTCTCGGCGGGATCAGCTGGCAGTCGACTCAAACGAGCCATGCCGATGATCGTGTTTGATCCGCTGAAGGCGGAGGAGCAGTACGCCGAGTACTGGCAGGGACTGGCGCATCAAACCCTGGATCAGCAGCTGGAGAGTAAGTTGAGGCTGAACACCCAGCTGGCCAAGAATGTGATGCTGTTCTTGGGCGACGGCATGTCCATACCCACGCTCACGGCGGGACGCGTCTACTTGGGCGGCGAGGAGAAGCAGTTCTCCTTCGAGCAGTTTCCCTTTGTGGGCCTGAGCAAGACTTACTGTGCCAACATGCAGGTGGCAGACTCCGCCTGCACGGCCACCGCTTACCTCGGAGGAGTGAAGGCCAATTACGGCACGGTGGGCGTGAGTGCGGCCGTACAGGTGAAGGACTGCCTGGCCCAGGGCCAGCCGGCGCACCATGTGGCCTCCATTGCCGCGTGGGCCCAGCGACAGGGAATGGCCACGGGTCTGATCACCACCACCTCAGTCACGCACGCCTCGCCGGCGGGAATATACGCACACTCGGCCAATCGCAATTGGGAGAACGATGCGGAGGTGATAGCGGACAATGGGGATCCCAGCCTCTGTACGGACATTGCTGCTCAGCTTATAAGCAATCCGGTTGGCCAGAAACTGAATGTAATCCTGGGCGGCGGTCGCCAGAACTTCCTGCCCAAGAGCGTAAGGGATGTGAGTGGTGCACCGGGCCGACGTCTCGACGGACGCAATCTCATCGAGGAGTGGAAGCGCCAGCACACCAACAGTGCCCACTACGTCCAGACGCGAAGCGAGCTGCTTGGACTATCCAATCACACCTCCCGAGTGCTGGGCTTGTTTGCGCCCTACCACATGCCGTACCACCTGGACGCCGATGCGGAGGAGCATCCCACGCTGGAGGAGATGGTGCAGGTGGCCATGGGCATACTGGAGCGGCAGAGTGCCGGAAGGGGCTACTTCCTGTTTGTAGAGGGCGGCCGCATCGATCACGGACACCATGACACACTGGCTCTGCGCGCCATAGACGAAACGGCCGAGTTCGACAAGTCAGTGCGATGGGCTCGTACCCACAGCAGCACCGATGACACTCTGATCGTGGTCACCTCGGATCACTCGCACACCATGTCGCTGGCGGGTTATTCCAGCCGCAAGAACGACATCTTTGGCATCAACAACGGTCAGCTGGCAGCGGACGATCTTCCCTATGCAACGCTCAGCTATGCCAACGGACCCGGCTACAACTCCAACTATCTGCGAGAGGGTGGTGCCGTGAAGCGGAAGAATCTGCGGGCCATCAACATGAAGAACAAGGACTTTATGTTCCCCAGCACGGTGCCGCTGGAGTCGGAGACTCATGGCGGCGATGATGTTGCCGTCTTTGCCAGTGGACCCTATGCCCAGCTCTTCACTGGCGTCTTTGAGCAGCACTTTATCCCCCATGCAATGGGCTACGCCTCTTGTTTGAGCGATCGCAACATGTGTGTGGATGGAGGCATGGCGCGGAGACCGCGCTAAGGCGGTTGTCGTAACTATCAGGAAATATTGTATTATTCTCAAATGAGAGCCTTTAGGCTAAGTAATAGTGTAAGGGGAGGGATACTTAAAATATATATTTTATATCTGAATTAATTAATTAATGGAAATAGGGTATACAAATGTACATAAGCAGCAAAAGTATGGTGGCCGTGTAGATAACACGTACACAAATGTTGAGTAAAATTATCCCTTTTGGTTTGATATTGACTTTAGAAACAATTCTACAAAAGAGTGACCTCGAAATAAGCCAGTCTTATAGCAAATTGATGCATCAGTTGGATAAAATGCTTGGTTCAGTGCTGAGAGTCAAATCTAGCTAATAATAATGAACGGAATATCAAAATCGAGATATAAGATTTTCGATCATGGACACAGCACAATCGAAAATAGAGTGCCCAAAGTTCGTGTTCCATCTCGGTATATTTTCAAAGTTAGAAGGTATGTTTTGGTATATTTCTGCTGCACATGCGGTATATTTAATCGACACATCCGCGGCCACACTGGTACATTCGCTGACTTGGAAATTGTTTACTAAATGGAATTTAATGGAAATTTACTAAAATAAAGTGAGTAACAAACGCATAGACTAGACATTAATGTAATTCATGAAATGTGCGCAGTTGAGCCAGAGTTGGTGCGGGGTGCCTTTTGTGTGTCAGCAACCAGTTTAGTGCGACTTGCGCTCCAGAGAGATAATTTCGATGTGTGTGTGCGTGTGTGTGCATTTGTGTGTGTATATATATAATAAAAACAATAACAATTTACACGCAATGCAAAACATCAAAAAAGTTGGATCATTTCGCACGCCGCCATCACCATTGCGTTCCTTACCAACACTTTCGCTCGGGGATTACGTTGTCCGAACGCTGGCTAGCATCATCATTTCAGGGCTCGCAGCTTGATTTATTAATAATTATTGTCTATATGTAGTGGTACGGTACGGCACTGCTGGGCTCCCCGTTTGGGTAACGAACGTCATTCACCTTGACTTGTGTGCTCTGCCAGGTGGAGCGTTGCGTCGCGTCTGTCCAAAAGTCAATTCCCCGCTCAAATGTTGATTTCTGCTGCGCTTCATTTCACATGAGGCTCTTCAGAACAGTTAGTCAATGTATCCATGGAGCATGTGCTATAACACGTCGACAAGACAATTTAGTGGCTATCGATGGGGGATGGCTTATCAGCTGCCACAAAAGATCCAGCGATAAGCGAGCCACTGACTGCCATTCGGACATTATGCCCGACAATATGTCTCAAAGAATCGGATATACTAAGAGAATGTAGGCAAATATTTGCTGCTGCTGCTACTGCTGCTCTTTATGACTAATTCTGAGGATATTGTGATCGTGCCAAAAGTTGAGAGATTGCTCTTGTGGCTCTTTAGACAATTTTGTGTTTGTTTAATTAAAGATTCCGCATAACAAAACAATGTTTGTGCCCCCCTTGGTGCAAGACCTTTAAACCTGATTAATCGTCAATTTTGTTACACACATACACAAGAGTACACCGATGTATGTATGTACATATGTAAATGCCGATTCTAGCCCGATTCTTGTTTAGTTGTATATTTTCTATTATTAATTGCTGCTCGCCAACGATCAGAGTATTCGCTCGCTCGCTCTCTTGCGCCACTTGTGCGGCGTTTTTGTCCTCTCTTTGCCAACTTTGCTTTGCATTCGGTTTAGTTATTGTTTTTGCCTTGTGCCGTGCAGTTTGTGCAACATTTTCGGGGGTTTGCTGTCTCCGGGTAAATGGATTAAGACATCTTTAAAGCTATTATAGTGTGTATGTATGTATAGCAACGACTCTCCGCTTTGATTCGCTCTTCAGCACTTTCGATTGAACTTTGTTTCGACTTTCGAATGGTCCCACACACACACTTCATTTAATGGTTCGTAATTTCCGATAAATTTAATTTGTTTTTGATATATATAAATATATATACAACAACATCAGACGGCTCCTATTAGGGTATACAATTGATTGCTTTCGTTTATGCTATTTTGCTTACACTAAAGCCTATTCCTATTTGGTCTCCAGCTGAGGCAGATGCATGGGCAGTGGATCCAGTGCTGAACCCGCTGCTGTTGCACGATCAAAGCAGAGAGCATGACGCGGTGAGGTCATCAGTTGACGCACCCCGAAGGCCACATCTTCAAAGGTGATGCGCTCGCTGGGCTCCAGCTGCCAGCAGTTGAGCAGCAGCTGGTAGAGATCCCCGTAAACGTAGGAGGGCTGGGCAGGACGCACAGCCGCTCGTATGGCGTCCAAGAGCTGCTGACTGCTGGCCACCATGTTTGCATAGGGGGTGCCGCCCAGGGCGCAACACTCCCAGGCAACGCAGGCCAGGGCCCACACATCCGACT